CTCGTGTGTGACGGTTCACCAAGAGACCATTCCCTCTTGGAGAGCACCACAGAAAGGTTCAAAGCAGACGCCTCATTCTCACCGCATGTGAAGAGAATGGAGAAGCATCTTAATTGACGACATCCTAGGGACTGTATAATTGCAGCAGTACAGAGGAAATGGAGACAAGACGAGATACTACTTGGAGTGGTTTGAGTAGCACGAGGCCTCTCCTTACTGCTTTAGCCGAAGCACCTGGAGAAGTGGTAGCAACGATGTCACCCTTTGCATGTGGCATATGTATGGACTGTAAATGTAGAAGAAGCAAAAGTAGAAGTCCTGTCTTCCATCTTCGCTGGTGGTAACCCTGGTGATATTTGGCTTATCACATATAGAACTGCCAGAGAGGCAGGCAGACGCGGGTTAATAGGTTGAGAGATGGAGAGATGGAGGGATCGAAGGGTAATCGCCATAAAAGTCACTTGTTTGAATTTGTAACCAGTCGAGGGTTATCACGCAGATGTAAGAGCAATCTTACCGCCTTTGATTCCTGGAAGGCAAGTGGATGAGACAACTGCCTACCTATCCGCCTACCTACGGTGTCATTGGCGTGGTAGGAGGGGACGCACTCTGCTCTGTTTCCACCTCACCCTCCATCCAACTGGGAAGCGGACAGTTGCAAGAGAGCAGTTAAGGAGTACGTGCAATTTTGCCCAGTTTGTTTTAAGCAGAAGTCATTATTTCATTAACAGATGGTCTGCCTTGTGGGCTAGCCAACTTGAAGCTGCGCTGTCGAACGCTGATTTAGACATATTCGTTTGACTCATTGAACTGGATTCGTCTTCACAGGGGAGCCCATACATCGAGCTTTGAAATGAGAGCTTTTGACAATCACACCTAAAGTGGACAGTTGTTTTAGGTGGTGTTACCGCTGATGAGGAAATTGTGATCACTTTTGAAAGAAACGTTTTTACTCACCAACAGCTTATCGTGTCGTCGTAGATAATTTACTTTACACCTGGAAGCAGTTTTTTGCTCCATGAGGAAGAATGAAATTTGTGGGAACAAAAAAATAATGGAGGGAGAGTGAAGCTACTCTACCCTACCCTGGGGAGGACAGAAAGGAGACTGACGGAATTCAATGCATGGGGCTGATACTACTCAAGTCAATTTGGGTATCTTCAATAGACATGGATACACCAATTAGCGGCCTTCTGGTGGTGCATCCTTTTTGACAAGGAAATTGGAGGGATGATGGATTGTCTGTCCGCTTGCCTGTCTGCCTGTCTAATGGCTGCCCTCTAACCTCCGTATAAATCACTCTTTCCTCCTCAACGCATCTCCTCCCTTCCCCTCCCCCCTCCTCACCTCACCTCGCCTCGCCTCGCCTCGCCTCGCCTCTCCTCTCCTCTCCTCTCCTCGTCTGATGACTAACGATGAAAAAGGCGAAGAGTGGGTGGAAGAGTCGGTGGACCGAGAGGGAAACAAAGATGGAATAAAACGTCTGCACTGGACCACCACTTTTTCTTCACCTTACTCCACTTCTCATGGAGCGCACATCAAAGTGAGAAGAAGGTAGAAAGTAACGCATGGCCTCAAACTGACTTCCTTCCGCCTTGTAATTTGATGAGGAATTGCAAGGTGTGGCAAATTCGACGTCTCAAAGCACTTCCTTGGACTTTGTTGGTTGTAGTAATAGCCTTCGGCTATCTTGGTTCTAAAGCAACTAAGTTCCTCTTGAATGCCCAACTCCTCATGCCAAACCACATTGTGTGCGTAAAGAAGGCTTCTGAATGACTGCACAAGATGCTCGCGACGCCTTGCAGACGGCAGTCCGATTGATGTATGCGAATGGAGGTGCTTGAACTCAGCAGTGCACACCTAGCTGAGGAAACAGGGAATGGGCATCTCCAGCATGGAATAGCTGTGCTTATGAGGTGTCGACTTTAATTACTTCGGTGGTGCAACTTGCCCTGACATCGGCTGTTGACGACGCTGCCTCCCGTTGGCAGTCCCTCGTAGGTCAGGACAGCTACTCAGACTTGAGAGGCTCCTTGACCTCTCCTCATGCTCTAATTCAGTGTCACTAATCATGTTGTATCAAATGCCACAAAAGTTGCGGCATGATTGGTGTAGTGCTGAGTTCCACATACCGTGGAAATCACTCACCTCCACTGTTGCCCAGGGGAAACTCCTTTTGAGTGGTTAGTCAGTTGCAATTTGTCTGAGATTCCCGTTGTTGATAGGTGGAAATTGACACCTGCAAGGTGCATGTAAATGTTGCCTAGCCTTAATTCATTTAGGTAAATCTGATCCTTGAAGTCCACGCATTGACAGATTGTTTGGTTTGCAC